CTACGTTTTTGTTGAATGCTCTCATTTGATCTACCATTGTGAGTATGTTTCTACTCTGTTTTGCTACCTTTCAACATTAAAAACAATCTGCACTAGGGTGGGCGCCCTTCTCTTTTGTTTTCTCATAGCCTCTACTTGCTGTTAGAGGCTTGAGCTCTGGGTAGTTTGGCAAAGTGCCATTGGTCCAAGCTGTCAAATACAAAAAATTGTGATGCCTTACCAGTCTCCTCCCTTCCCCTGCCCTCCTCCACACAGCTCGGTGACTGGGTTTGGGAGGAGGCGGTGCGTACAGGGAGAAATGCCTTGCCTATTGTGGACTCCCACTGCACATAACTGGTCTGAGAGCAAGCCAGCTCCAAGGATCGGGTGAGTATGATTTTTTTTCTTTTTCTTTTAGCACCTAGTCAAAAAAGAGCACTTAATCCTTGCAGTACGGGGGTAACCCCACTGCAATGATTAAGAACCGTTTTGCCCAGAGTTCTGCTTTTTAAACAAACCTCACACCGGGATAGATCCGGGATGTTCGCCCTGAGAAATGTTGCCATCACTAGAGTACATGTAGATGGGAAGTGGCTGCAGGGGATCAGCTGCAGGTAAAATGCAACAAAGGATGAAAACAACGACTTTATTACAAATTAAAATCTTAAAGCTCCTTTCATTTACATTTAGCAATTTACTTGACCAGAAAGAAATGTTCGAACATAATAAAATATCCATACATTCCCAATAATGCCTTAAAACAAAAACTGGCGGCCTGCAGTGTAAACTGGCAACCAAGATTCAGGCTCTCTGTAGAAAGAAGTAGCAATAAAGATAAGTTTCAGTAAATAAAGCATTGTAAAGAGTGTCCTAACCCACATCAAACGGCCTGAATATGGCCCTTCAGAGGCATAAATCTTGTTACTGACAAACCCTTCATAGAAAAAACTCGGCTCCTATTCAGTATGTTTGGCTCTGCTGGTCCTCCTCGTTCTGCCGCTGTAGTCTCTACCTGTGCCCTATATTTCTCTGTAATGTACACTTTATTTCTGTTTCCATCCCTTCTCATTACTTTCTGCCCAGTTTTTTCCAGCTGTAGTAACTGGTGTTGAATTATTTAGCTTCCTTTACTGCAATAAATGTAACGGATCGGATCACCATGTACATGTTTTATTGGTGTGCGTGCAAATGTCAAAACGGCAAACCTGAGCTAGTGTGGTCTTTGAGCTGGTACAGGTATATGGGATTCAGAAAAAAAAACTGATTAAAGTGCATGGGGTCTATTTTTTAGTAAACAAAGTTTCACCCAAGATTCGCACATTTTCAAATTGAAAGATGTGTGAATCCTGGGTAAAAGATGTGTAAAAAACACAAATGGACCCGCTGTGCGTTTTCCGCAGCAGCTGGCTCGTTATATTAATTACCTGTTGTACACTAAAATGATTACTACAGGGATCTGGTTGCTATTGACAGCAATGTTCATACATTAGATGCCGGCTCTCCTTGTTTTTGGTGGCGTGGGGCAGATTCAGACACTTGCTGCCGTTGTACTACTTAGAAAGCCTGGAATGCTGCTTGCTGCAATTCAGTGTCACTGGAAGGGATGATATGGATGCAACGAATCGCCATCACTCACAGGATGGTGAACATGCGTCGATCAAACAAATGTTTCAAGCACGGGAAACGGAGTCCCTTCCTCTGGGAAACATAGTGCGCTCATAGAGGTCACTGTCTCCCTGAGGAAGGGACCCTGCGAGGCCCTAAATCGTTTTCTTGATTGATTCATGTGACGCATGTTCAATAAAAGAAATCAAGACATTTGCATCCTGAGAGTGCTGGTGATTCCTTTCATATCGTGAAAACACATGGTGTCATCACTTTGAGCACTGCTATTTAGAAAGAGAAAGGTCTACATCACCATATGGAGTGCAGGTGAGATGCCACAACACTGGTAAGGAAGAGGCTGAACTTGTTGCGCGCACTCAGTTTGCCTAAGCTTGCTCAAAACCTTAACCACCACCCCCTCCTCCCGATCCAATCACTTGCAGGGAGAAGCATCCCCCGCCCTGCAGCTATACGTCACCAAGGGGAGAGGAACACCCCCATCGCAACTGCTGCCATGGATTGGGTTGGGAGGAGTGCTTGGCAGTCAGAATTTTGGGTGAATTCTGGTGATCTGGGTTTGCAAAAAACCCACCCTCATCTCCAGTCACTGGCCCCCAACATTCACACTGACATTGACATACATGCATTTATAGGGCATTTCTAAACTCGTAGAATTACAGGGCTATTCACTAAAGGGTGAAGAGTTTGGGGAAGGCAGGAGAAGGGAACAATCTAGGACAACACAAGGCTTTTCCCCATAGTTCTCCTTAGGGTAATGGGAGGACACAAACTAGCATCCTCCCGTCACCCTAGGCTCTGTGAGCTGTAGCTGTAGCTCGCGGTATACTGAGACGCTGAAGCGGATCCCAACAATTATGCCGGGATCCGCCCAGCTGCGTGACTGACAGCTGGCTCTGCCTATCTAAAGGCAGAGCCAGCTGTACCCGCCCCTCCCCCGTATCTTCCGCCAGTCAGCGCTATGGGAGAGGGGAATCCAGCCCCTCCCCTGTCACGGCAGAGAGCCGTGACAGGATCGAGAGGTGAGCGAACGCCGGTATGTGTTCGCTCACCTCCCGATCTACTGAGCCGACCTGTGACAGTCTCATTGTCACAGGTCGGCTAGAACTATGAGGTGAGTGAAAAGCACTCACCTCATAGTTCTCCTTTTTAAATCTTAAAAATGCATTCTAGTACCTTTCTAACTATTAACAAAAATGTATCTTATTTGTGTATCACTCGGCTGTAGATCCTCAAATCATCTCTGAATTGGTGCTGACACTGCCCTTCCTTCTGGAGGGGGGCTACTTTTGTTCCCCATGGTCCCTGTATGTGTGTTGTAAAGTAGTCATCGCTCCAAGCTCACTCCCGGGATGGACTACAATCTCAATACAAAGTGGTAAACTAAACATGAGATTGTAGTCCATCACAGGAGCGAGCTTGGAGCGATGACTACTTTACAACACACACAGGGACCATGGGGAACAAAAGTAGCCACCCTCCAGAAGGAAGGACAGTGTCAGCACCAATTCAGGGATAATTTGAGGATTTACAGCCGAGTGATGCACAAATAAGATACAATATTGTTAAGTACTTGAATGCATTTTTAAGGTTTAGCTCCTATGTTTGGTGTCACTATAAGGTATTGCAACATCGTACATTGTGGCAAAAATTAGTGATGTGTCCCATTTCTGAGACACATAGGTACGTCGGAAGCCCATTGATTTCAATAGGCTGCCTTAATGCAATTCATGGGAAAACAAGAAACTTGCAATACCCTATATATGTAAATTGGCCATAGACCTGTTTAAGGTCACAGGAGTACATTTACTTATGTCCTCCTGTGACCCACAACTCGGCATATAGCGTGCTATTGCCCACTATATGCTGACAGTGCAGAGCCAAAATGCAGCTGGGACCGATCCCAACAATATTGTCGGGATCCACCCCACTACCTGATTCAGCCTCTCTGGAGGCAGGGCCAGCTGTGCTCACGCCCTCCCCTGTCTGTATCTCCAATGAGTGCTGGAGGAGGGAAGCCCTGTGGGGAGTGGTGACTGACAGTCACTGATCTCTGCAGGGAGAAGATCGGGAACGGTATGTGATTGCTCAGTTCTCGATCTATTGAGCCGACGTGTGACCGCTTCACTGGCGCACATTGGCTCTGACTATTGGAATGAGTGTAATTCACTCATCCCATAATTCTTTTAACTTTAGGCACCAGTAAATACTTTCATCTTATTTAACATAGCCTTGACTTCCCATTTACCTTTGGAGTGTATTACATGTACTACAACACTTCTCGTTTAAACAAAAAAAAAAAGAGGGGGGGGGGGGGGGTGATGGTGAAGAATGAGTGCACCCATGGAGCAGTAACAGTGTTTGTTTTTCAAAATCAGTCCACAAGTACCACAACATGTCCCTCAGTTGAATGGGCTGTGTAAGGTAAAGGAAATTCTGGAATTACAGTCCATCAGAGGTACTTGAGGACTGGCGATGAGAAACATTGCTGGCAAAAAACAACAACAACTTTGCTCTTAAATTGGAACTTTACCGGTCTCTTAAATGACAACATAGTAATAGCAATCTACAAACAGTTATAGATAATTGCGGCTTTATTCATTGCTTTCGTTATTTTTTCTTCCCCTTTCCTCTCACTGCAGCCATTTTCATTAAGGGCAGATGAATTCATCTCCCTTTACTTCCTGGAACTCTGGGCCAGCCCCCTGGAACATGTGACAGTGCACATCTGAGGACGAAAAAAAATGTCCTGAAATCTTGCATGACTTTGACACGTACCTATGAGATTCCTCAGGATGTGGTCTTCCCACGATGCATCTGTAAGGCCAGGGCTACATCACCAGCACCTCACTCAACCAGGAAGTGGAAAAAAAAACAATCTTTGCAAGTAAAAGCCAGATAGAGACAGTCTCAAGTACGCATCCTAGACAGGGAGGAGGACTGGTTTAACAGGTGTGAAAGAGGCCCTTTATGTAAAAATTGAGAAGCCAAGCTTGAGGTGGGGTGGGGGGTGAGACCTCTATTGTCTGCCACATACAATGCTGTTTTAATACCTCTCTCTGTGCAGGTTAACACCTCCTAGACTCCAATTATGCAAATGTAATTAACACCTGGCTGTGACAGATTGTGGATTGGAGCAACATTCACCATATTTATTCCCAGAGAATTATTGTACAAGCCATTCTGAATTGAGAAAGCTGGTTGGATGACCAGTGAAACGTCTCCAAGAAAAATACAGCAAGTCCAGTTGCCTTGACTTATTTTTTACAGAAAAAACAATAATAAGCTTGGGCTGGAGTTGCCATATAAGTTGATCTGTAATAAATACCAAAGTCATTGTTTGATTGTATAAGATGAACAAAGTGGTTGCCAATGTTCCTTAATTCACGATAATTCAGATACACACAGAACGGTATATTGCACATGCTGGACAGAAATAAGAGGATCAAGCCGCGGCCGGAGAGGTTCCAGAACTGCAAGGACTATTTTGACCTAGTGATCACCTGCGAGGAGAGAGTCTATGATCAAGTAGTTGAAGGTAAGAATGGTTTGTAGATGTAACATGTAGAGAAAGTCCTATAGTCCTGTGTTTTTAGTTGCGATTGGACATGATATAAATGCTCTGGTTTGCTATCATCACCAAGATAATAATCGCTTTTATTAAAATGGATATATCCGTGTTGGCTGGATGCCGATGAAACTACAGAATGTCCTCCCACAGTGGCCATCAGTGACGAGCGTTGGTGTCGTCTTGCTGCTTCTGCCTTATTCTCTGTAATGTTAAATGGATCAATGCAAGAGTGTCATAGGAAGAGGTAGACAGAGCTGATACAGATACTAAAGTCTGAGCGTGGTATAATGATAAAGAGTGACTGAAATCGCCAGCATCAGCCCAAACCTGAAAAATCTTCTTTTTTTTTTTCAGGTAGGCTTTTGCTTTTAGGGCAGGGGTAGGCCACCTTGGAGGGGCAAAGATCTACCTAATCAACAAGATTGCGCCATCCTACCTGTGACACTAGTTTCACTGGGGCGGGCACCACAGCATTCCTTCTATTACCTCTGTCAGTTAAAGGAACCTGTTTTGTGTGTCTCTTTTGGAACTAGCTTCCCTTAATTTAATAGGAGCCTACCATGAAGAGTCAGTCCTACCAACCACCATCCTCCTGTTCCTTGAGAATTAACTTATTAGCAACTGAATTACTCATTTGACAATGGAATGAAATTGGTGGGGCTCAGCCTGGAAGTCTGACTCTTAATAGCAAAGCAATACAGAGGCACATAGAGGAGGCTTTTCTGGCCGAGGTTCCTTCCTATTAATCGTTATTTAGTCAGGGAAGACTGATCAGAATGCATTGACTGAGGACCAATAGATCCTGCATACATAGTTAGCAGATTTTGTTTATAAAACATAAATGAAAAACGTCAACATTAAAGTTGAACTCAAACGTTTTTGTTATAAATTGCAGCTCACCAGTCAATGGATGTGGTAGCTGCATTAGTTTCCTTTTTTTCCAGACTAGGAACAGAATATACCTGTCTATCTTTCCAGAACTGAAAGAAGAAAATATTTTCTTGATCATGCATCACAGGACTCGGGAAGTTAATTCTGCAACCAATGGGCTATGCAGCTGCCTTCAGGTGATTGGACACTGGCAAATAAAAAAACTTAAGGACAGCCTTATATTATTCCTCTCCCCTCCCCTTCCTGCCCACAGCATGTCTCAGTTTTTTTGCTAGGAAAGGAATCCTTCTCGTTGCTCTGAGAGAAGCACATACTTTTCTGCACTTTTTCTACATCAAGACTCTTCTATCAAGTTTTCCTTTTTTGGGACACCACTGCTCCACTTTCAAATTTGACACCATTTTTATCTCCCATAGGTGGCCTGAGGGGCCGCTTCTGCAGACAAGGTCATTCCAAAGGTCTGCTATTGCAGCTGGAAGGTTTATTTTGGTGTAAAGGGAGGAAATTCCATCCCAGGAGATATTCCATGGGTTTAATTTCATCTTTCTTCCAGCCTGGCCTGAATCGGCATTTAGGCTTGTGTGGGACAGTCGGCTTCTCGTTCCACTATTGCTAGGTTGGTTCTGCGTACTGTCACTCAGGCCTTAAAGCCGAAGGGTGAAGTTCCTCCCTTTCTGGTTAAGGCTTACTCTACTAGAAGCATAAGTGCTTCTTGGGCATTCCTGCGAATGTCAGGCTTCTGCAGATGTTAGCTTTGACTTCAAAGATTTTTTGTCATCCCTCTGACTTATGGGTCCCTTTTGTCTGTTATAGTTCCCTGTTGGAGTACAAGCCATTGTTTGTGATTTTGCCCGTCCTTCTGTTGGACTGTGTCATTGGTTCCAGAATAAACCCCTATGTCCTGTGATGTTCTCAAGAAAACAGGATTTTGTTTGTCTTACCTTCTTGGAGTACACCATAAAGGTGCCCATACACTGCACGATTATCGTACGATAATCGTATGCGATCGGTTTTTCGTACGATAATCGAGCAGTGTGAACGGAGACGTGCGACCGTTTCTACTGTACGGTCGCACGTCTTCTGTCGAACCAGCCGGGAATCGTACGATTCTCGGCTGGTTAGAACGGTGCTCGGAAGACAAATGCCGAACGGGCCGGTGTGCGCACGCGCACACTGCCCGTTCAGCATTGCGGTCATCGGAAGCCCGCCCCTTAGGGGGGCGGGCTTGCGATGATCGAGAGTGCGATCTGCCTGTCCAAGATAGGCAGATCGTACGTTTTTTTAATCCCTGTACAACCATCGCAAGACTAAAGTCTTGCGATGGTTGTAGAGTGTATGGCCACCTTTAGACAAAGGAGCCTGGCTACAAAACTGAGGCAGGCTGGGTGTGGGAGGGGTTGTGCAGGGCTGTCCTTACAGCTTTGATTTACCAGTGTCCAATCACTTGAAGGTAATTGGTTCCTCATCTCACCAATGTTCTTTAGCCAAGGTTCAGTTTGCCTTTCTGAAAATGCCGTGCCCAGCACTGCTGAGTGATTTGCTGTTTTATAAACCTGTGTTTTTGTTTTTTTCTTCTCCGATACAGATCTGAACTCTAGAGAACAGGAAACGTGCCAACCTGTACATGTCATAAATGTTGATATTCAAGATAATCATGAAGAAGCAACATTAGGAGCCTTCTTAATTTGTGAACTTTGCCAATGTGTAAGTTTATTTGCTGTATTTTTTTCTCATCTAATGAAATGTGGATACGGCATGTTCATGTGAGCCGGCCCAGCTTTGTATTCCAAGCTGCATTAAAAGTAAGATACTCCGAGCCAGATCTTCCAAAAATCAAGCTGAGGCAGGAGCCTAAGGCCTGGAGGATGACCAGGGGACCCAGCTAGAACCTTCATGCTGCTGCAATAAACTAGGGGGATAGCACAGTTGTTTAAACCTGTGTTCCCTTCTGTTACTTCACAAGCAAAGGATGTAGTTGGTGTCTGATGACCCCATGGCAATCCGGACGATGCAAATAGGCTGGCTTCTCTGTGCCTGATCAATATCAGCTGCTTCCTTTCCTAGGGTGTCATTCTGCCTTTATCCATCGAATGGTTCTTGCAGTTCTATAATAGGACGATGAGCTCCAAGAAGCTACTTTCTGTCCTACAGTTGTCCAATCCTAGATGTTGGTGCGTGGAACAAATGCACAATTTAAAAGTACATGTTAAAGTCCCAGCGTGACCAATAACCAGTTAGATTGAATCCTTTTTTAGAGGCCAGAAACCTACCACCCGGATTCTACATTAGCCACTAGGTGGAATTCAGTGGTTCGGCGCAAAGTCTCTCTTTTGATCTCTCTATTCTGACTCCGATCGTTGTGATAGCGAAATATATCCCTTGCTGAGACCTCTATGCCTGGCCTGTATAAGCAGATATACTCACTGCGGACAATCCTCGTCAGATAGCTGAACTCGTCAATACCGATTCATTCAAAAGAGGTGTTTATTCTTTTACATCAGGTTACAGCAGATGATAGGAACAGCAGTTGAACGGTTATAGTATTGTGCGGTCAGAAAATGATGCCTTTCCTACGTACTGTGCAGATTATATGTGTGTCCTGTTACATGTGGCTGCTGGCTTTTCCATGACACAGGAAGTACTGCACACAGGAAGAAGGGTGGGGCTACATACACTAGGGGGAAATACCTCGTCACATGAGGAATAATTACAGAAAGCATGTTTGTTACAACAAAAGGCCACTAGATGGCAGCATAGGATAACAAATGAATTTAGCTATGAGAAAATAGTTAGGCAAATCACACTATATAAATTCTAACCTATATAACAATACTAATATTAACTGAGGCTATGCATCTCATATTTTATGTCCCTATTGGGGCGGCACACTCTCTCTTGATCTCTCTCTCTCTTGATCTCTCTCTCTTGATCTCTCGATATCTCTCTCTCTCGATCTCTCGATATCTCTCTCTCGATCTATCTCTCTCTCGATCTATCTCTCTCTCGATCTATCTCTCTCTCGATCTATCTCTCTCTCTCTCTCTCGATCTATCTCTCTCTCTCTCTCGATCTATCTCTCTCTCTCGATTCACTGTCCCATGAAGCAGCAGGTACCGAGGAGCCACCACTGTATTCCCTAACTATTAAGGAGAAAGTGGTGTCACCCTCTGGGCTCAAAATGAGTTGCACAGAATTACACTTTCTTTGGCAGAGTAGTTAAACTGTAAAAAGCAGCGTTGAGCTTCAGTGATGGATAAAGGCAGCGCAGACACTTATTTTTTTTTAAATTTATTTAATGGATCCGCCTAACTGTGGTTGTGTAGTCACTGCAAGTATCTACTCCACCAAGAAGCCACCAAGATTACGGAAGCAACTATTCTAATACATATGATCCTTTTCTATGTTTATCTTGTATTTTCGTTCATGCTCCTAACGATTTTATCTCATCTCATTACAGATACAACACACAGAAGATATGGAGAATGAAATTGATGAACTATTACAAGACTTTGAGGACAAAAGTGCTCGAACCTTCCTTCATACTGTCTGCTTTTATTAATGCAAGTCCAGCCAAGCCTTATTCTATCTACAATATGATATCATATTTCTGGAAAACCAAATTCTAAAAAAACAAAAAGCAAAAAAAAACAACTTTTTTTTTTTTTTTTAATGTTCCGATTCCATTTTGGTTTTGTTTCCCCCCCTCTTGTGTTTCTCCTGCAAAGTGTTTTCCCTTCAGGTATTTTGTCCAGAACAAGCAGGGATGTACAAACGTTTGTGTATATATGGAAAAGAAAATATAGACTGAAAGATGTATATGGAAAAAAAGAAGAAAAAAAGTCTGGCTTTCCTCTGATTGTGCTGCATAAGTATTATTTTAATTTTTTTTTTTTAAAGAAAGAAGCGTTATATCTGAAAGATGACTTTTGTTTTGGTGCTAGTTACGTTTAAACTTCTTGCTGCCTGGGGGTAACAGCACATTGGTAGGTCTGTGGTCAGCTCCGGTAGGAACACCGTCAGAACTTCAGGCAAAACACTAATTGGAGAAATAGATAAGCCATGGAAATCGCCACTTAATTGTGTCTGAATTTTGTTTTTGAATATACTTTGATAGAAAAGGTAACACCCCACATCAGATTTTGGCATGCTATAGCTCAAAGGGCTCCTTGTACAATAAGGTATTCTGAGCATGTTTGGGACGATGCATGTCTGCCACTAGTGTGGTCCTCAGCATACACTATTTGGCCAAAGGTCTGTGTACAGGGGACAAACGTACCAACATAAGCTTGTGGTGCATCCATTCCAAAACCATGGACATTAATAGGAAGTTGCCCTCTTCTTCCCTTATCTGTGGACATTTGTGCCTATACAGCCCAAAGAGCTCAACTGCTGATGTTGAACGAGAAGACCTGATTAGTAAACTGCGTTCCGGTTTATCTCATGTGTTGAGTCAGGTCTTCATGGCAGGTCACTTGAGTTCCTCCACACTAAACTCATCAAACCATGTCTTTATGGAGCTGGTTTTGAGCACAGTCATGCTGGAACAGAAAAGTGCCTTCCCTAAACTGCTGCCACAAGTTTGGAAGTGTGCAATTGTTTATAATGTGTCTGTATGCTGTAGCATCAAAAGTAACCTTCAACGGAAATACCTGAACTCAATCATTTGTAGAGGTTTCCACATATGGACATATAGTAGGTGTGATTGGTCAGGTGTCCACAGACTTTGGGCCATGTAGCATACATGATAATCTTGTACGCTATATGGTTTTCACGCAAAGCAGACCCCCAAACCCCCCCATATCAGTACTGATTAATAGCTTAGGGATGCACCGATAGTGTTTTTTTTGGTATCGAGTACCAATATTTTTTTTTCGGTACTCGCCGATACTGAATACTGATACCAGAAGTCCCATTAAGGAACCTGGGTGACATGTAATGACTCGCCACCCGGCTTCCTGATTAGCTGGGAAGCCATCTCCATGCTCCCTCGTCACCATCTGATGAAGCATGGAGCCGGTTTTCTGCCCAATCAGGAAGCCAGGGGGCAGGTAATGACTCACTGCCTGGCTTCCTGATTGGCCAGCTTCTCGACCGATCTGAAAGCCGGCCAGTGAGTCATTACACTGTGCCTGCCTTCCTGATTGGCCAGGAAGCTGGCTTCATGCTCCATCACCAGGTGACGAGGGAGCATGAAGCCAACTTTCTGGCTAATCAGGAAGCCGGGGAGTGGGTAATGACTCGATGCCCGGCTTCCTGACACCGGAAGCTCGGGTATACGGTCCAGGCATCGGAGCATTTGGGCATGTACCGGCGCATCCCTAATTAGCATGCTATCTGGGAACTGGGGCCGCTGGACTTTAACAGCTTCTCACAAAAGACGGAGTAAAAAAATTCTTCATGGAGAGGACTGCTCCACGATCTCAGTGTGGAGGACAGTAGGACACGCTGATCCTTTCACAAAGGAGCTCTGACAAAATTACTCGTGTGGCATTGCCCTTTAATTCCGGTACAAGGACTTCTGGGACTTATAGATAAAGCTAAGAAGGTAGTTGTACCCTGATATATTATGAAAGTTTTTTGTTTTTTTTTAATCGGTGGACGATTTTATTTTTGTTGTGTGTGCTGACTGAAGTTCTCACTGAAATAACTTATGGCAGATTGCAAATATGAATGCTAATATCTGTAATATAATAGGTAATAAATTGGAAATGTACTCAGACATGATGTGTGGTCGTTTTTTTTTTTTTGGGTATTAACTCTAATGCCTAATGGCCTCTGCACCCGAAGATGATTTACACTGCCTGTCCAAAAAAAAAAGTCAAACACTCTTAATATTGTTTTGGATTGACATTAGCTTTTGATTACGGCAAGCATTGGCCATGGCATCGCTTGGATAAGCTTATACAATGTCACAACATTTATTTCAGTCTAGAGTCGCATTCATTTTTCACCATCTTGTAGTGATGATTGGAGAGTCGGACCACTGTGTAAAGTCTTCTCCAGCACATCCCAAAGATTCTCAATGGGGTTAAGGTCTGTACTCTGTGGTGGCCAATCCATGTGTGACAATGATGTCTCATGCTCGCCTTCCTGAGTACATGCGCTGGTACTAACAGTACACCCCACAGCTGATTTATCTCATTATCTCAGCATTATTTTTGCTGGGGAAGCTAGTTCTCTCCTACCAAGCTGACTGAGGGCCCCTGTACATATTGTGCTCATGATAATGCAAGCATTGTAATATGTGTTAAGTCCATATTGTGTATGGTTTACATAATCTTTATACACATTGTCCTGTAGAGATTGTTGTTTGTAAGCTCCATGAATGTACAGTGCTACCTCATGCATTATCCTTCTTCCATAAAGATGTGCTTGCAGGAAACCACCAAATATACCCCAAATTAGATTTTCCTAAAAGTACCACATTACAATGTATAGATTAGATGCATCTTAGGTTTCGTTATAGGAAGAACTCCAGGTAGGGTTGCCACCTTTTCTTCGAGCGAAACCGAACACTTTTTGGGAAGATTTGAGTCGCGGCGTATTCATATGTAAATAGCGCCGCCCATTCATATGTAAATATCACAGTTGAGACTATTTTCAGTGGGGGGGGGGGGGGGGGGGGGGAGCAGTAGCCCCTATCTTAATTTTGGTTGCCCCTGTCTGCCTGACATCTTGTGTCCGGGTTTCTGTTGCCATGAAACCAACTCCAGGATTGATTTTTTTTTTTTGTATGGCAACTTTCATTGGCTCAGCATGACCTGTTGTAAGTATCGATATGTGATCTCTGCAGGGTCACTGGGGTTGCTAAAATATCAGTGCAGTGGTCTGCACCACATACAGTGATAGCTGTGATCACGGGTGTCCTGATCCTTTTTGACTGGGGGGTGGGGGGGGTGCTCCACTGCTCTGATCGGCATCCCATCCAGCTCCTGGCAACCGGTGATGTCACTGGTTGCTAAGAGCAGGGTGGGTCGCCAGCCAGAGTATCCCAGGTTGCTAAAAGCAGGACAGGTAGATGTGTATGCAGGTAAGACGCTGGCCAGAGGGTCCCAGGTTGCAAAAAGCCGGGAGGAGAAATGTCTATGGCCCCTACATACCTCCCCAACTAGCTCTTGGCAACCTGGGATGTTTTGGCTGGATGGAAAGGGGGCGGCAGGCTTACTGCAAATATTGTGCAGCTGAGCAGCCATTGCACTTTGCCTGCCACCCCCCTTGTCTTTGTTTCAGTGAATACAAGGTGTTCTCTAATTGGATGAGGTGGAGATTGTGACAGCATCCGCCTCTCTTCTCCATCTCGTCCAATTAGAGAACACCTTGTATTCATCAAACAACAAATCCAAGACCTTCTCTGAATTGCGGTGGAATTAACAACAGAAGAATTGTCCTTAAAGGAGAACTATGAGGTTAGGGCTTTTCCCCATAGTTATCCTTAGGGTAACGGGAGGACACAAACTAGCGTCCTCCCGTCACCCTAAGCTCAGTATACCGCGAGCTACAGCTCACGGTATACTGAGACGCCGCAGCTGAAATGGATCCCGACAATTATGTCTGGATCCGCCCAGCTGCGTGACTGACAGCCGCCCCCCTTCCCCGTCCAGTCCCTCCCCTGTCACGGCTCCCTGCCGTGACAGGATCGAGAAGTGAGCAAACGCCGGTATGTATTCGCTCACTTCCCGATCTACTGAGCCGACCTGTGACAGTCTCATTGTCACAGGTCGGCTAGAACTACTGGGTGAGTGAAAAGCACTCACCTCATAGTTCTCTTTTAAGGACTGGTGGCATAAATGGTAAATGCTCCCTTTGGCGCAGCGTTTCTCCACATTTTTCAGCCACGACACTTAAGTACGCAAAATCTCTTGACACCCCAAAATCCTTACCAGGACCTTATATGAGATAGTAGCCTGCTATGGATTTTAAGGGGGGCCCCATGCAAAAGAAAATAAAAAAAACAATGTAAGGTTACACCTTCACATCAGAATCTCTTCTTCACATTAGAGCCTGCAGGTCTTGAGCACCATGGAAAAACATGACGCTGTGCGAAAATTTGACAGCACCCCTGACTAAGCCAGATGACACACCACGGTGCTGCCGTACCCCACAGAGGCTGAGAATGGCTGCTTCAGTGTTTTATGCCATAGCAGAGAGGTGTGAATAGCCCCTAAATGTAAAAGGCTCTCGGGGCTCCTACACAAAATGTCACATTGGCCCATATTACATAATTACAAAGGTTGAAAAAAAAAAAAAGACAATTCCATTGAGTGCAACCTACAGACCACAATATACTGTACACTGAGTGGCCAGATTATTATGACCACCCCATCAGTACTTCGTTGGGCCGCCTCGTGACTCCACGAGATGCTGAAAGGTGATGCGAGGAATCTGACACTGCACTGTTACCCTTCTGTTGTCTTGTACCAGTCTTGCCACTCTCTGTTCTGCCCTAACATTGACGAGTCGCTGACGGCCACAATTCGCACGTTCAGACCCAGATTTTCCGCTGACAGTCCAGTCTTTAAACACTTTACCAACAGCTGCTCTTGAACATTTAACCAATTCTGCTGTTTTGCTGATACTCACACCATAGCTCCGAGCGACAACAATCATCCCAGGTTCAAAGGCTGTTAAATCGCGTTGTTTACCCGTATCTTCAGAAATAATCACTTCTACTGTCGTGGTAAACAACCTGCTTCCCTATTTATAATGGTCTGGCCCTCTAGCAACTTCAGCGCCAAATTATAGCTAATTTGCCTACAAACGTCAGGTGGTCATAATAAGCTGGCCACTCAGTGTATGTGCCCATGCCTGCAAAGATGCTATCAAGCAGCATGACAGGAAGGCAGGGAAGAACACACACATAGTCTAGTTGGATGTCACTAACCAAAAACAAAAGAATATTAACCCCTTCATGACTGAGGCCTTTTTTTCATTTTTTGTACCCATGTTATATTCCACATTTTAGGCCTGAAAATTACTTAAAACCCCCCAACATTATATATTTTCTGAATGCCAAGACCCTATAGAATAAAATGGTGGTAGTTGCAAATTTTTATGTTGCGCAATATTAGCGCAACTCCTTATTAAACCCCAATATTTAGTGACCGGACTGTCCGGGTAAATCCTGGACAGGTGGCAACCCTAACGCAGAAGCGATCTGGCGACAGGTAAGTCGCCAGGATCGCTTCTGTTGTAAAGCTGACAGTCGGCTCTACAAGTTTAAACAGAGTCCCGGCGGCAAAAGTCACCGGGAGTCTGTTTAAACAGCCCCGATGCTGGCGACGTACACTGTACGTCGTCAGTCACGAAGGGGTTAAAGGATATCTATGGTCGAAAACTAACAAATCGGTATTTCTATATTGTATTTCTATAAGTTCTATCCCGCTCCTAATAACCAGATCCACCTAGAAGTTTGTAAACTTACTTATTGAAGATGCCCATAGGATGGACTTCCTCAATGACACAACTTCACTGATACCTGCAATTATTACTTCCTTGTGTCACAACTCTCACAGTGCATGCCTTCTGAGCTCCAACTCAACATCTGAACAATGGACCGTCATCATTGTTTGCTGGGAGCAATGCATAATGGGATATGTAGAGATTGCATCACTTAAAGCAGCAGGGAAAAGACACAAAGCACACTGGGAATCCAAGAAGGTATTGAAAGTGATGGGCAGACAGAAGGCAGCGCTCACTACATAAAAGGGATTTTTCCAAGTTTGCTTTCATTGCATTATGAAAAACAACTCCAGTATGTATTCCTATTACAATGCTGATGTTATAACAGTAGAGGATATGCTGGGACTTTACAACTTCTTTGGCTTACAAAAGATAGAGTAAAAAAGTCTCAGCTGCCTTTAGCAGCCAACACAATGTAGGCTATTATTATCTAGACATCACTGGACATAAAAAACAGTGATACATCTTCCTTCCACCTATTCCATAACTTTCTATTCCTACCACCCTCCTGCATTGTAGGTCCAGCAGTATATTAGCAAATGCACCACTAGATGGCAACTGTGAGCAACTGTGGAGGAGTAACTGACAGGTCCCCAAAGTCCCTTCCCACTCCTAAATAGCACATTTCCCCCAACATAGAGCTTACATATCCCTACCCCTCTCATCCCTATCCCTCTTATCCCGACCCCTCTTATCCCTACACCTCTCATCCCTATCCCTCTTATCCCTACCCCTCTCATCCCTACCCCTCTTATCCCTACCCCTCTCATCCCCATCCCTCTTATCCCTACCCCTCTCATCCCTACCCCTCTTATCCCTACCCCTCTCATCCCCATCCCTCTTATCCCTACCCCTCTCATCCCTACCCCTCTTATCCCTACACCTCTTTACCTATGCAATAAACTGCAAGAAGGCCATTAAACAGCAATGATTAACATTTTGTATCAGATATAGCATGGTGTAGATGGACCATTATTAGGAGAATAGTAGTCAGCATTCATTCATTGGGGTGACAAGAGCAGCCACAGTCTGCAAACTGCAGTAACCCCCAGCAACCAATCGGATATCATGTCTTCTGCTCAGGCTATCTTTTGTTCACATCTGATAGGTTGCTATTGGTTACTGCATTTTGCTCAGCATCCTTGCTATGCGCATCTTGCAGACTTCCAAGCTGCATCTAATAAAAGCACTGCATTCCTTAACCCTTCAGATGCCGAGGAGCAAAATCATCCTGCATTCATGTCTTTTCCTTAATGGGGGTTTAATGAAATGGCTGATATGTATCCCATCTGTTACTCCCAGGCGTGTGTTGCATAACTGGCTTCCCTTCCTTTGCACCAGCGTGGCAGTGCCCAGGTACCCCCATGGCACCAGGGGGATGGGGTGGGGGGGCTTGGTGTGTGTATAATAGGGAAAGGGGGTTTGCTGTCTCTTTCCTGAGTTTCCAGTTTCTAGAGAGGGGTGGCGAGTGCAGCCACAGTCCCCAAAGTGCAGTAACCCCTCAGCAACCGATCAGATATCATCTCTTCTGCTCTGGCTACTTTTGTTCACATCCGATAGGTTGCTATTGGTTACTGCATTTTGCTCAGCAACGCAAGTGCATCTTGCAGCCTTCCAAGCATGTACATCATATATGCGGCTACATCTAACAGCAGCAGTGTATGCCTTAACCCTTGACATGCCAAGCAGCAAAAGCATCCTGCATTCATGTCTTTCCTTAATGAAGATTTAACTAAATAGCTGATATATATCCCATTTGTTACCCCCAGGCTTATGTTGCATAACTGGCTTCTCTCCCTTTGCACCAGCCTGGCAGTGCCCAGGTCCCCCCATGGCACCAGGAGGTGGTGGGCTTGGTGTGTGTATGATAGGGAAAGGGGTGGGGGGTTGCTGTCTCTTTCCTGAGTTCAGCTAGAGAGGGGTAACAAGAGCAGCCACAATCCCCAAAGTGCAGTAACTCCCTAGCAACCAATCAGATATCATCTTTTCTGCTCTGCCTACCATTTTTCACATCCAGTAGGTTGCTATTGGTTACTGCATTTTGCTTAGCGTCCCTGCTATGTGCATCTTGCAGCCTTCCAAGCTGCATGAAACAGCACTGCATGCCTTAACCCCTGACATGCTAAGGATGCCATGGACCAAAAGCATCTTGCATTCAGGATGGCACTAGGGAGTGGTGGGCTTGGTGTGTGTGTGATAGGGAAGGGGTTGCTGTCTCTTTCCTGAGTTCAGCTTTCTTCCGATCTCTAGAAAGCAAAACTTAAGAAAGAGACAGCAACCCTCTTCCCTATAAAATACAAACTAAGCCCACCACACCCTGGTGCATTGGGAGTACCCGGGCATTGGTCTGATTGCAAGCCAGGCTGATGCAAAGGGAGGGAAGCCAGGCATGCAACACAAGCCTGGAGGTAACAGATGGGATACATATTAGCCATTTATTTAAATCTCTCTTTAAATCACTAGAGAGGGGTGACAAGAGCAGCCACAGTCCTTAATGGAGGTTTAATGAAATGGCTAATATGTATCCCATCTGTTAATCTCAGGCTTGTGTTGCATAACTGACCGTGCCCAGGTATCCCCATGGCACCTGGGGGTGGTGGGCTTGTTGTGTGTATGATAACTAAGGGTGTGTGTGGCTTTCTGTCTCATTCCTGAGTTTCACTTTCTAGAGAGGGGTGACAAGAGAATCCATGGTCCCCAAAAGACAGTAACCCCCAGCAACCAATCAGATATCATCTTTTCTGCTCTTGCTTCTTTTACACATCCAATTGGTTGCTATTGGTTACTGCATTTTGCTCAGCATCCCTGCTATGTGCCTCTTACAGCCTTCCAAGCTGCATATATGTCTTGAACGCTGCTGCATCTAATAACAGCACTGCATGCCTTAACCCTTCACATGCCAAGGATGCCAAGGACCAAAATCACCCTGCATTCATGTCTTTTCCTTAATGGAGTTTTAATTACATAGCTAATATGTATCCCATCTGTTAATCCCAGGCTTGTGTTGCATAACTGGCTTCCCAGCCTGGTAGTGGCCAGGTCCCCCCATGGCACCAGAGGGTGGTGGACCTGAGTTCCGCTTTCTAGAGAGGGCTGTCCAGATCCTTGCTATTCACTTAAAACAATGGATGATGCTATTAGCATATTCTAGTAGGTGGAAGCCCAGTGGCGTACTGCATGGTGCAGAATATCAATCGTGGCTGCAATGTCACTGAAAGGGAACAGGGCGTGCAAGATGCTCCAACACATCACGTTTAGCCACCTCTCTAGAGGGGACACAAGGCTCAGCTCCCCCCCACTTCCGCTGTGCTGTCTCCATCCATGCATATAGACCCCCCACTTATGCCTTTAGGATTTTTTTTTCCCTTTCCTTTTGCCGGTTTAATGATGGGGGAGAGACGATTAGGAAGTGATCAGCTGTCATGACGCCAATGGAGAAGGCTGCTCCGCTGACTTGCCTCTTCTGCTGGGCTCCTCTATAGAGATAACATCCAGTTTTGCAAGGATATATAAAAAAAGGATCCTTGAGTGATTGACTTCCTTTTTTCCTTTTTCTTTTGCTGGATCAATGATCGTTTGATGCAGAGAGAAGGGGTGTCTGCCTGGATAGCCTTGTGACTCCTAAAATTTACCAGGGAGGGAGGTAGAGAGGGATTGCTTGTCACATTGCTTTCTTTTTTTTTTTAAAGAATGGGGGGGAGAGCAAAGAAAGGCGACCAAGATTGATTCGACCCCCACAAGAAAATCCAAGGAAGGGAGAGAAGAGGAAAAAAATTAGGGGGGGTTGCTATTAAGCCTTTAAAGAGAGCAATACAGTACTATACCAACATGATCCTGATTGCCTTCATCTGTATGTAACTGGATTCTTTTTTTTTCTTTTTTGGGGTCTTGCTTCAACATCAAGGATTGCAGCTTTTTTTTTTTTTTTGGGGTGGGGGAGGTGGAGGGAGAAAGGGGGGGGGGTTGACCAGTTCTGACCTTTGCAGAGAAGAGGGAGGCAAGAGAAGAAGAGTACCTGCTATTTTGGGGGCAACAGACACCACCTTGTCAATTCCATCTATATGCACATGAGCGCTAACACCATGATATTCATGGTACTGGGGGCGTCTGTTGTTATGGTAAGTCACAACTCTCACTTTGGTCATTGACATGTTGATGTATTTGTAGCAATGTCATATTGGCTTTGTGTGTGTGTGTGCGCGAGTGTGTGTGTGTGTGTGTGTGTGCGAGTGTGTGCGAATGTGTGTGTGTCAGCCAGTGTGTGTGTGTATTGTGAGTCCTTTGCAAGAAGTGGCAGCGTTGTGATGACTGCTCCAGCAATTTATTTAGCCAGCAAACTAGAGTCAATGTTTTATTCCATCCAGAGTTGACCAGATGCCTTGGTTATGGGCTCTTACAGGCAATAGCTTGCTTGATGGACATGAACGCTCTTTTGGACCGATTTCACAATTATATCTTACCGCATTTAAGAGGGGAAGATCGGGTTTGTCAC